CAGATAAGCAATGTACATAGACTGGAAGCAAAAACATTAGCTCTCATGCCTATCTGAAGATACAGAGAATTACTATTTGGGATGGTAAAATATGCACTGCTTATTCAAAGGCTTCCCCCCATTAAATAAAAATACCAAAACTTGATTTTTATTGGTCTCTGTGTGACAGTCTAGAACAAAGAAGTGGGGATGCCCACTTCTTCTCAACAACTTAGAGATGGGTGAACATGTTGGCATATGACTTAACATCCTAATACAGAAGAGCAGCAAGTTGGGGCTGTGAAGTCAGGAAGACCTGAGTTCAAATTTTGACCTCAGATAGTAGTTGTGTGACCCCAGGAAAGTCACTTAACCTTTGCCTCAGTTTTCTCACCTGTAAAATGGGAATAATAGCATCTACCTCCCAGGGTTGTTGTGAAGATCAAATGAGATAATATTTGTAAAGTGCCTGGTATATAGTAGGTGTTTAGTAAATGTCTCTTTCCTTCCTTACTCTTTAATCACCTTGCATTTAATTTTGATCTGTTTTGTATGTACATGTCCATACATGCTTTCATACATACATACATGCATACACATGTACATGTTGTCTCCTCTGAGAGAATGCAAGGTGCCTTAGGGCAGTTATTGTCTTGCTTTTGTATTTGTATTTATTCCCAGCACCTAGCATGGTGCCTGGTATATTGTTGTTGCCGTTTCCATTGTGTCTGACTCTTCATGACCCCATTTGGGGTTTTCTTGGCAAACATACTATAGTGGTTTGCCATTTCCTTATCCAGTTCATTTTACAGACAAGGAAACGGAGGCAAACAGGGTTAAGTGACTTGCGTAAGGTCGCAGAGCTGTAAGTGTCTCAGGCTGGATTTGAACTTGGAACATGAGTCTTCCTAACTCCAGGCCTGGCACTCTATGCACTGTACCACCTACACTTCCCCACCTCACATACAGGCACTTATAAATATTTGTTGATTGATAGAGGAAGGAAAGCCAGTGCTTACTGATAGCTAATATTTATTAACTACTTTAAATTTTGCAAGGCACATATATGTATATATGCATATATGTGTGTATATATATATATATATAAAATATGTATATATATATATGTTAGGCTGAATGTCTCACGGTCTCATGAGAGCTCTGTTGAGGGAACTTTCCCATGGGAGTTCTAGCTTCTATCAGTAGAAGCTGAGGGTCACAACATAGTTGCGTGGCAAAAATAAGGAAGTCTCCCAGGACCTCTCCTTTGCTGACATGCAGCTCCCACGGTTGGTTCGGCTCTCCTGTCACTGGGAGATGAGTCCTGACACGAGCTCCAGCAGACCTGATGATTGGCTATCACAGGGGGATCACACTTTGAACATGCATCACTAGGGCCATAAAAGTCAGCTAACTGCACTCAATAAACGGAGCTTCTGCCACCTTGCTGTCTCCCGCCTCATCTATGCGTCTCGGGGTTACAGAGCATTGAGCTGGTCTCATGCTCACCACTGCAGCGGCCGCATCATATATATGTATATTGAGCCTCACAACCTGGTAAGGAAAGGGCAATTATGCCTATTCTACAGATAATAAAACTGAGGCTGAAAGTGGCTGAGTGACTTGCCAAGGATCATACATCTAGTAAGTGTCTGAGGTAAGATTCAATCTCTGGTCATCTGACTCTGAGAGTAATGCTCCTTCCATTCTGCCATGTTGCTTCTTTGGATCCATAGCTATAACAACAACAATAATAGACAATAATTTTAATAACAGTAATGATACCAGCTGGTGTGTATAAAGTGCTTTGAAGTTTGAAAAGCACTTAACAAATTTTATTTTTTTTGATCCTCATGACAATCTGAAGAGGTAGGTGCTATCCCATTTTGCAGATGAGAAAACTGAGACTGAGAAATTCAATGACTTGCCCAGGATCACATAGCTAGTCACTGTCTGAAGCCAGATTTGAATTAAGGCCTTCCTGAAACCAAGTCCAGCACTAATTGAGTCCCATGAGTAGCAGACTCTAGTATTTATGACTGCAGGGTATGTGACAGGCTTATCTAACCAGAGACACTTAGAGTTATTTGAGAGAACCTAGAACTGGATGGTATTCTCCTTCACCTTTTGTTGTTATTTACTCCTATTGTAGTCTCACTAGAGGAAGAAATGTACAGGAATGCATCTAGTCTAAATTTCTTATTGAAATGGTGATAGGTCAGTTTAAAAAACAATTTTTTGTTATATGAGATGGTTCTTTGGCAAGGTGGAGGGGTGGGGAAAAAGGATATTGGATGAAATACTGGTGATGTCACAAAGATATCAATAATTTGTTTAAAAAAAGAAAATGCTAAAAGACAACTTCCTTAAAATTACATTATTATTATTTGCATTGTTGTCATCCTTGGGGTGACAGCATTTCAAAATACCAGTTGAGAGGGTATGCCTGGCACATAGCAGACACTTACTAAATATTTATTGATTGGTTGATTGATTGTTTGATCATAGACAGAATAGCTTTCAGTCATGGTTTCCTCTTTCAATTACACCAGGGCATTCTTGACCTTTGTTTTTTTTAATGTCTGGCAAAGCCTATGGTCTTTCTGAAAATAATGCTTTTAAGTAAAATATACAGGATTACAAAGGAAAGAAATTACTATATATTGAAATACAGTTATCAAAACATTGAAAAAAAATAGTTCATGAACCCCATGAAATCTACCCATGTATGTCTTTGGGAGCTATAGACCCTAGATTAAGAATTCTTGCCCTCCTAGACCCACATAAGGAAAGGGACAGGAAGATCTTCTTTCCTTTCCCATAGGAATTATGATGACTATCCTTGTTTTTTTCCATCACAGATTCCAGACTTCTCAGCTGCACCCGTAGGCAGGTATTGTGGAATCTTAAAGTTGGAAGGGGCGTTGGAGGTACTCAGTCCAATCTTATACATAAATCAGTTCTATAACATCTCTGTTAAATATTATTCCTAATTTTTAAAATGGGTGGAAATAGGGGAAGCTAAGTGGCATAGTGGATAGAGCACCGGCCCTGAAGTCAGGAGGACCTGAGTTCAAATCTGACCTCAAACCAAACACTTGACACTTACTAGCTGTGTGACCCCAGTTACCTTAAAAAAAAATTAAAAAAAAATTTTTTTTAATGGGGGGAAATAGATACAAAGAAGTTAAGTGGCTTGTCCAAGCTCAAATACAGACAATACATGTATATAGGCTAAATATGAGCTATTTTAATTTAAGTGATTATAGCTTCTTAGATATTCTGGGACTGAAACTCGTATCTCTGGAATACACAACCACACACACACACACACACACACACACACACACATACACCATGAGACAGAAAGAAAAACAGAGAGAAAACACAAGTTTATATGGTGTTTGACGTGAATAGATACTCAATAAATATTAGACTGAAGTGGCAGACAATCTTTTTTTTCTAAGATTCAGAGTCCCAGTCCCAGTCACTAGCTTCGATTACTGATATACCAAAGGCGTACTTGTAACCACATGTAGTAATAGCTAGAACATTCTTAGAATTCTCATTATTTCAAATTCAAGAGGGAAGCCAATTTGTTCTCACACAAACCTTTTAACAGAATTATGTGTTCCGGGAAATATAAGCCCCAGGACATCAAGTACACGTTGCTAAGGGAACTTCCACATTTGAACTCCCTGCTTGGGGGTTCAGGGAGTGGGGGGTGGGGCAAGAACCAATGACAGAAAAAGGGATTCTTAGACTGATAAGTGGAGAGCTCTCTAACAGCTCTATTTTTTTTCTCTGTTTAAGAAGGCATTTGGCACAAAATTCCATCATGGTTGTCTTATAACCAGTTATTGAAAACTAATGATGTATGAGACACAATTAAGGCTGAACTCAAGAGAAAGACAATTCCTGACTGAAAATTGCCAAGGACTAAGGTTGAAATGGAATACTTCAAATTCATTTCAATTCTTCTAAGCAGGTGAAAAATGTGTACTAATCCCCTCCATAACTCTTGCTCTTCCTCCCATCTCATCTTCCTTCCCTGTCTTCTTCTGTGGGATTGTGTGGGGAAGGAGATGTGGACTGGTCCAGGGATAGAAAGTGTTGACTGGCCTGCTCTAAGTGCTTAATAAAGCGTTGTTGACTGAAAGCTGGGGTGGGAGTAGGGGGATAGAATAGAAAAAGAATCAACTCTTAGCCCACAACCCTCTGGCTTCCCTTTTGGTTGTGGTTACTGGGTTATTTCTTGCTGTTGTTCAATGTAAAAGATGATGATTTATTGTCTATTCTATTTAACATTTACTTACCATAGAAATGAAAATGTCATTTTCCAATCAATGCCCAAACAGAAAAATTCCGTAGTTTACTGATACTGTTACAAACAATTATACTAAAATGGCAATTATCTGGCACCCATAGTTTCAAAAACACATTAAAAAAATATCTGGTAGCTCTAACAGAGAGTATTGTGATAAAAGGAAAATATTTGTTTTAGTAACTGTAGACAGCTACATTTCAAAGCACATCTAATATATGTCAGATCTGCCCTGTGGCATCGCCTTTATATCCAAATAGACAATTATTCAACAGCTTTGAAGAAACATTAAAAATGTTCCAGGATAGTACACAGAACACCATTCACCTACAATATTGAGGAAGAAAAGGGTTTCCAAACCTCAGAGTTCTGGTCCGTAAAACCTAGCCTCCCTCTATCTACTTAGGGAGATCAGCCGAGAAGTCACTTCCTTGTCAATTTAAACCTGGAGGCTGTGGGACGCGTTAGATGTGGTACCTCTTTAAAGAGTTCAAACTTTCTTCCCTGGGGTTTCCAATGGCACTATTCGAATACGCAACATACTTTATATTCGTTTGTTTTTGGTCAACTTAGTATGGTTAAACTTTTTTTTTTTAAGTACTTTATAGGAAATCTATCCCTGAGTCTGTTACCTCCACAACTCAGGAACTTCATATAACTGCGTTAGGCAAGGGAGACTCAAAGCTCATCTTCCTACCTGGGCTGGCTCGGGGTACTCCACCTGGACACTGGTCTCTAGAGGAACCGTCCCGTTCAGAGGCACTGCCTCATCAAGGTTTTGTTCGAGCCTGGAGAGCTCAATCATAGCATCAGCCGGGCGCTGGCAGTCTCCTCTACCCAGTGAGAGAGCAGAGGAAAGCTACGGACGGGCAGGAGGCGGCAGAGCGGGAGACACCAGGAAAACTGAAGTCTCTGGGCCGAGGTCCGGCGCTCACCTGTGCAGGATCCCTCCCACCCCGCCCATGAGCAGTGACGTGTTTGGGGCCGGGTGTGAGCAAGGCTGGGATGGGCGGGTCATGCAGTCGAAACCCAGGGCCAAAGTCTCTTGTCTTGGGAACTACACTCGGGGCCAAAGTCTCTGTCTTGGGAACTTTTGCTGTGCCCATCCTGGTGAAGGGAGAGCTTGAACATGTCGCCTCCTCCCGAGGACTGTTTTTCTGGTTTTCTCAATGTGCGCCTGGCTCCAACCTAACCCCGGACAGTCAGATTACCCTCCTGAATAGGCGGAAAGACCTGGCAGTGCTGAAAGAACCAGAAAAACTGCCATGGGCGGAAGAAATCTGAATGCTTGCCTTCCTAAGGTACGGCATTCTGAAACTATGGACTTTGGCTTCATTCTGTCCTGTTGACAGTCTTTCAATCAAACAGATAATCAACGAACACTTAAGAAGCACCTACTATATGCCCAGGACTGGGCTAGGTGTTAGAGATACAAAGATAAAAATTCTTGATTAGGTTTATCAGGTTTAATAACATATGCACGTATAACCCTACAAGAGATAGGAACTGGATCTGTGATTTAAATGTCACAGGGAACTTCTATTTGAGGAAAATCTTGCAACAAATGCAGGTTATCATCTTCTCAGCAACATACAGATCTTAGAGAATTACATAGGACAGACGCTGAGCATTTAAGTGACTTGTAGTCACACAACCAATTTGTATCAAGTGGAACTTGAACTCAGCACTTTTTAAGGCTGAAGTTTATACTTCCTATTCAATAAGGCACACTGCCTTTGAGAAGCATATATGAATTAAATAAAAGGTTTTGAAGAGAAGGCATCAATAGCAGCTGGGGTGATCAGAAAGGGCTTTATGTAGAAGCTAGCATTTGAGTTGGTCTTTAAAGGAAAGGAGGGATTCCAAGAGGCAGAAATGAGGAGGGAGTCACTGCCAGGTGTGGGGAGGCAGTGTGTGCAAAGACATGGAAATAGCATTGCAGTGTATAAGGAGCTGCTAAAAGGCCAATTTGATCCCACAGTCTGTAAAGGGGAATAATGTATAATGAAGTTGGAAAGGTCTGTTGAGGCAGATTATGAAGGGCTTTAAATACCAAAAAGAGGAGCAGATACAGTAGGGATTCACATAGTGACTGACATAGTGCAACCTATACTTTAGGAAAATCACTTTGGCAGCCCTATGAAGGATAAATTAGAATGGGGAAAGGCTTGAGGCAAGGACACTGATTAGGAGACTATTGAAATAATGTAGGCCAGTTATGATGAGGATTTGAACTGAAGAGACTGTCTTATGGGTGGAGAGAAGGGGACTAATGTGAGAGCTGTTATGTAGAAATGGTTTGGGTATGTGGGACAACGGAGATCCAGGAATCAATTATGACTCCAAGGGGTTCAACCTGGATGACCCTTGACTGCATGCTTATGCGGCAACCCTGTTACATATAGTAATGTTCAAAAGATCTCACTTAGAGATCATCCAATTTAGGGGAGAAGGTAATGAGTTCTGTTTTGGACATAGTTGAACGGGACAACCAGTTTGAAATGTCTAATAAGTAGTTTGTGATGCAGAGTTGGACTTTAAGAGAGCTTGGAACTAAATATATATAGAACTAGAGTCATCTACATAAAAGTAATTATTATACCATGGGAGCTAATGGTGCCACTGAAAGATAGTGCTATTTTTACACATAGAGACAAAAGGGCCCAGGACAGAGCCTTGTGTACACCCTCAGTTCAATATGAAGCTCAAATTCTGCTTTAGATGGTATGCTCAGTAAGTGGGTAGGGCAGCCTGGCACAGATACTGCCCTGCCTTGCTCTCTACCCACTCAGTACTTCTTCTCCAGACAGGAATGCTCTTATCTCTAGCAGTGGGGTAAGGTCCACCCATATTCTGACATCACTTCTGTCCCTGGTCAGGTGGCATAGGAAGCCTGGCTGATAAAGTCATGGCAATATCAATAAATCCAAAATCAATAAATTCCAATCCCCTCATCAGTGCCTTACACTCAGTTCCCCCAATCTTGACTCTTCCTCACCTTGGTTTAAGGTCATTGTTAAGTCAAGGGAATGTTTTTTTCTTTTTTTCCAAATTTCTTAAAGCTTAAGGTATTGATAGATTAAGCAAAACACAAACAAGTCAGTCTGAGTTCAAATCTAGCCTCAGACACTAAAACACTGCTGTACTTTAGTCAGATCATTTGTATCCTACCACTGAGGATGGGAGTTTAATGCCAAAGATGTGGGTCTCATAAAGAAAAAAAAACAAGGGGCTAGAAAAATGGGAAAAGGTCAAGTTTCTTCTAACTATCTTCTAGCTAGGATGTGATGCCATATGCCTACTACAGGCCTACAGGTTTCCTGATGCTACTACCTCTCCCAACTTGGATTCTTTGATTCTCAACTTTGCCTGCAACCTTTCCCATCTCCCTTGTTAAAGATGCCTAATCATTCCTTAATACTTGAGTATCACTGATATGTCAGGCTAGCCAGGAGTCTAGTTTCCTCTTTCACCCTCAGTTTTGATCACTATGAGCCTATTTAAAGTCCTTTCCTTGCTCTGGCTCCCTGGTAAATACCGTTCTCTATCTGACCACCATATATTCTTTCCCTGGCTTCAGACCATCTGGCAACTGACCAGCTTTGAACTCAATAAAAATAACTCTGATTGGATATACCAAATGCCAACAATGGAAGATGCTTTAAAAAATAGTATGGTTAGAGCCAATTGTCATATGAGGGAGTTCCATGTATTAAAAACCAGTCAGAGACTGAGAATTTATAATACTTAAGAGACAGGATAACACTTCTGGATACCAGGTTTACAAAGAGATTTTTGCCTCAACAATAAATGATTCTATGTTCTTCATTGCTGCTCATATTTATATAATGACTTTAGTTGAGATTAACAGAACAATTTAAAATAATCATGGTAAAGTGAAACAAGGTCTAGATTGAGGGTCAGGAATGTGGCTTTTCCCCTTGCTCCTTCTAATGCATCATGTGACCTTGGACAATTCACTTCAGTCCCTCTCTGAGCTTCACTTTCCTCATTGGAAAAATGAGGAGTTGAATCACATGACTCAAGATCCTGAGGGCACTACCCTTTGAAAGTTTCTCTGTATGCTTTCTTATTTGCCATGTTCTACTTTTCTAGGTATATTCTTTGGGACCATTTCTTACTTAACTTTATATCTGCCCTAGCACCCAACATAATACATTTGTTGTTGTTCAGTAGTGTCCAACTGTTCATGACTCCATTTGGGTTTTTCTTGACAAAGATACTGCAATGGTTTGCCATTTCCTTCACTAGCTCATTTGACAAATGAGGAAACCAAGAAAAATAGTATGAAGTGATTTGCCCAGGGTTGCATAGCTAGTCAGTGTCTCAGGCCAGATTTGAACTCAGGTTTTCCTGACTCCAGGGCACTCTATCCACTGTACCACCTAGCTACCCCATACTATACATACTAGGTGTTTAATAAAATATCTGCTGAATGAACAAATAGATGAATCTTGTTGCTGCCCAAGCCCCAGCATTGATACTATACTGAACCTAGTGCCTAATAAAAGATCCAATTAAGAACACCAGAGGCTCTTTTCCTTGAGCCTGCTGACCAAGATAGCCATCTTAAGAATTGAGTTACAGACCTGTAATTTAGAGAAAGAAGCCTTGTTCCTGCCCTGATTTCATCATTGGTAGGTCCTTACCTAAACCTAGTAACCCAGTCCCAGCAATATTGCCCTGGACAATAAGACTCAACCCATTTGTGTACCTTTTCCCTCAGATGTATGCCAAATCTGTTCCCTCTGAGTCATGGGGACTTTGTGGAAACCCCCCAGAAATCCCCAACCCTTTCCATACAACCTTGTCTCCATGCCACATGAGCTCCATAAACTAGATCCATAAATGCTTCCAGAGTTCTATAAACAAAGTCTTTCCGTCTTCTCTAAGCTCTGTAAACCAGACCCTGAAATGTACCCACAACTCCATAAATACAGCCCAACAATATCAGATTTACATCTCTTTGTTTTGATTACTGATGATAAATGGAGCTGGTCTATAAACCTGGATTCCTAATCTCTTTCTTGTTCCTAATCACTATCATTTATTTGATTTTCCCAATTTTTCTTGCCTTGTCACCAGTGAGGAAATCTGTATCCAGCTGCCATTCACAAGCTCAGTGTGATGGGGCAGGGGAGGAGGGGAATCTAACTGCAAAAAAAAGATCCAGAGTGAATTAGAAGGAAGCATTCAATCTAATCTAATCCTGCCTTTTCTCCACATTAGTAAAGGAATGACTACCTAATCCGTCTCTGGTTTTTCTCCATGCTAGAACTGAATACTTCTTTTAAAAATTTTATATATATATGTGTGTGTGTGCTTGTGTGTGTGTGAATGCGCGTGTATGTGTATATACACATATCCATACTGTATATGTATATATATATTCCTTTATTTATTAGTTTAGATATTTATTAATTTAACTATTATCCATCCATTATTCTTTTATTTATTTGTCAGTTTATTTATAAAAACTGAGTCTCCTAATTTTGCCCAGGCTAGAAATTCAAAGACAATTCACAGGCTTTACACTACTATGGTTGGCATGGAAGTTGTGACCTCTCTATTTCCAACCTGGGATCAACCCACCTTAGACAACCTTTGAAATTCCCTACTCATATTCTTCATCAGCCTGTGGTATATCTCTATGATCTTCCTTGAAATGAAGAAGTTGAATGCTGGTTGATGATGGTGATGACAAAAGCTCATGACCACATACATTCATGTATCAGACATACGATTCTTGCTGTATAGTAAAGACACACACATATACAGGCATAATATACCTCTAACCTATTTATTATACTGTATACTGTATATAGCACCTTATTACATATTATCACTAACCTATTATTAATATCATCACTAAATTAA